AACTAGATGAAAAAGTGCGACCCTGAAATGTAGTTTGCTGCCAGACTCATGGAGAATTTTTCGAAGACTCCCGGATAAAAATAAATAAAAGCTGTGGAGTCTAGAAGCTGGTTGCACAGCAATGAAAAGTCGATACTATAACTATTCTTCAAGGAATAATCTGTGCTACCACTAAACGGTACAAAATTTGTGTTGTAGATAACGTTGAAATATAATATATTCAATTTATATTATAATAATTAAATATATATAATTACAATTTCTAAAAAAAAGATAACTGAAAAAATTTCTATGGGGGCTTAGTGTGTGCCTCCAGCTCTAATAGTTTATTTCTAATAATTGAATGATATGTGGAGTCTAACGTCCCAAAACCACAATATAATTACGATAGATGCCGTAGTGGAGGGCTCCGGAAATTTCGACCTCCCTGGGGTTCCATGACGTGCATCCCATTCTGAGCACACGGGCCTACATTATTATTATTATTATTATTATTATTATTATTATTATTATTATTATTATTATTATTATTATTATTATTATTATTATTATTATTATTATTATTATTATTATTATTATTATTATTATTATTATTATTATTAATATTATTATTATTATTATTATTATTATTATTACTACTTCAAAAGGAAAAATAAGCTGTTCACCTGCAGGTCGTGGGTCAACCGGGTCAACAGCTGAGTAATGCCACAAGTTTAACTACGATTCCATCTTATTGCAGGTTCGTAACCTAGCAAGTTTTTTTGCTTCCAGCCCTGCTAAAACATGACACCGGCAGCTGACGCTTCTATTATTACCTAGATCTAGACGAAATGCCCGTTAGGAAAAGGACCCTTAGTTTCGCCAACCAGTGATGTACTTTTGAAAAGGCGAGCGACTCACGTGAAAAAAAAAAAAGAAAGAAACCATGGTGTTTTGAAGAGTATATATACTGTGTAGCTCACAGTAGAAATGAGTCTGTGTGATGTTTTAACCGGAAGGCTAAATGGACTCTTTCAGGCCAGTAATGAGGAAAAACGGGTAGAGAACGTGACGGCAAAGTGCACTATACGGTGTCGCCGTTTTATAGCACTACAATTTTAACCAGAAGGTTTTTTTTTTGTTTTTTGTCCAGCTTATTCGGCCATTACAGACCAGGTGAAATAAAAATGGCATGCTTATCTAAAAGGGTAAATCTTCAGTTGTAAGGACAGTATCCATACCCAGTCGCTCATGCTCTTCCTGTGTTTTTCCGACAATACGTGAATGTTGATGAGCTTCACTTATTTTTATTTCATCTTGCGCGTTTTTGTCGAGACAAGAACAGCAGCAGCAATGTAGAGAGGTCATGCGAAATCTATACCATTAGTACGGTGTTCCTATACTAAGTAACTGAATTCTGATTTTTTTTCCTCTGTGAAAGACAGCTGCTACGTACATCAAAACACCCTATTATTTGGAGAAATATGAAGTCCTAAATTGGGCTTAAAGGCTAATTCATTGCACTGACTATAGATGTCCTGCAAACATACCATTCGAAGCATATTCACAGTTTAGCGGAAATGCTGGCGTCTTGATACTTTTTGCAGTGAAGCTTTATAGGTCTATGAGGAGGGCAAGTGTTGGTGCAGGCTCACTTACGGGGTGGTCTGGGCGGTAAATGTTGACCCTTTCCCACGGATCGCTCTCGAGGTCGTACATGCAAGGTCCCATAGATGGGTGACAGTACTGTCCTCCCTGTATCATAATGTCAGTCAACACAGCGTCCGGCAGTTCCTTAGGTGTCTCTAAGGTCTTGCCATGGAAGCACGACAGCACCTGCACGTGACATCGCATAGCCAGTAAGGTGGGTGTGCATACTTTGCAGTTAGTTGTGCACAAGACTCAGAGATTCGACGCCATATAAAGTGATTGCATATGCAAACACTCAGTGCCCCTTGTAATCCTTGTTTGTGGGAAAGTAAACAAAGAATATTCGGTGACAGGCAGCCCAATATCACAAGGGTGTCTTGAAGGGCCAGTTGGTACACGATATTGAGAGGAACAACGCAAAAAAATGGGACAGAGAAAAAATGAACAGCGCTTGTTTCGTGTGTTCATTCTTTCTTCGTCCCTTTTTTTTTCACTGTTCCCTTCAGCCCAATATCGTTACGTGGAAATAGGGCCACCGACTTAGTAGGAAATCGCACCACAGCTCACGGAAGAACATCGTTCTCTTCATCTTTTCCCTGATGTACCTCAGTATATATACCATTACGTACCTAGTGTTACCGTCGCCTAAAATTACGCAACACAACACCCAGCGGCAAAATCGCCGATCCCGAAAGTCAATGGGGTTATAGCAGAGGTATGGTGTTTGCGCTTTGGCCTTGATGAGTGGACGACGTGCTTTAATCACAGAGCACAAGAGGTTGTAGAATTATCGGGAACAATTTCGTCTGCCATTTCATTTCAAATGCGAAGCAGTTTTTGCTCCGGGCTGTGTCCGTCCCTCGGCGACCGTCTGCCTCCCCCCCCCCCCCCCTGTACAAGCACCAACTCTCCCTCTTCCTGGCGTGAGCACGAGAAGGTGGGGTGGAGGAGGTGTCAAAGCCCTGCCTCCGCTTCATTTCTCCTCTCCCGTTTATCTCTCCGCCATAGCTATGCGCTGCATAATGTGGCACGCACTCGCCTCGTTGCACTCTCCTACAAGCGCTGTTCACTTGGCGGCCCATACATGGCAATACAGATAGATAGATATGTGGGGTTTAACGTCCCGAAACCACCATATGAATATGAGAGACGCCGTAGTGGAGGACTCCGGAAATTTTGACCACCTGGGGTTCTTTAATGTGCACCCAAATCGGAGCACACGGGCCTATACCTTTTCCGCCTCCATCGGAAATGCAGCTGCCGCAGCCGGGATTCAATCCCGCGACCTGCGGGTCAGCAGCCGAGTACCTTAGCCACTAGACCACCATGGCGGGGCTACATGGCAATACACACAAATGTAAGGGGGGTAACATAAGCTGTACACAAAATATACAGAGCTTCACACACAAGTGAAACGTGCACGGAAACATACAAATGGAAACAGCCAATGGAAACACAAGTGAACACTAGCGCTGCTTCGCATCCACACATGGTGCCATTTAGTGGGGTGTGGTGTGACTGTTTTTGTGAGCTGTGGTGTGGTTGTGGTTTTTTCGCCGAGGAGCATTTATAGATGCCCTATGTATGCGCATCACATTGTTTACGGCTGGACAGTTTAGCCCTCACTTAATAACTTTCCAAAGTCAGTATTAGTGAGCTAGCCCATATATGCGGAGCACAATTAAACAGAATGGTCTGCATGCACTACGTTCTGAGTATCTCAACCTCTACTGAGAGCCCTCATAACTGCTCAGTGGTTGAGATGGCAAAGTGGCTGGGAGGTGTCAAAAGCGAGTGCACAAACAGCTAACGACTTGTCTATGTTTTTGTTAAGCCACTATTTTTCACTTCAGTACACACCATACTATGAATGTCTCTATCTCTATCAAAATAATAAAGTTGTTTTTTATGTACTTCCTACATTACAAATAGTGGTGAAGCCAAGGTTAGGGTGTATTGAGACCACCTGAAATTTTTCACCGTTTACACGTGTAAATAGGCAGGCACACCTACAACCACACGCTCAAATATACAAAAGGTATGAGGAACGCACTGGAAAGAATTTCCGGTTACACGCACATAATTGGCGCCTAATGATAACTAAACAAAACCTATTTTCCTTTTGTGAATATACACCCCAGTACATCCCCCCCCCCCCCCCCAATCTCTTGTCCCTTTTAAGCGCCCAGTGCTCGGCGCTGTTGCCGTTTTCACACATCCTATTCAAAGATGCAGCCCACCTGAGCTGCGAGGCAAGCCTGCCTCGCTTCGTGAAGCGTGTTCCAGTGGTCGGGAGCCACGGCACCGACCGGATCGTACCATTCGTAGTTGGGGAACATCGTGTTATTGCGGTCCTCCATGATCTTGAAGCGCTCGCCGCGTATGGCCGACTGACCCCACAAGGGGTCGATGTTGTAGAGCACCTCCTTACGAGGCCACGGTGCTCCAAGCGTCAGCGACTGCCACTGATTCACGCCATCGATCTGGGGCACGTTCTTCATATTGCCTCCTGCCGACCGGCCACAAAAAAGTCAGTAAGTGTGGGCTCGACTTGACGCATGACTCACTGGATATCCATTTTGAATGTGACCACCGTTACAAGCTCTCAAAGTACTAATAACGTGTAACTCATATTTTTTCTTTGCGTTTTCAGCTTTTGTTCTATCGGCCAAATGCCTGAGGATGGTGGTATGTTCATGTGATGTCTTGAAGAAATAAGCTCTCGGTTGGCCCATACACGAGGATTATTATCTGTGAATTGTCCTCTTCCTTTGACATGCAGTCACATACCCGTTTTTCATCGTCTCGCATGAATATCGTGCGTGATCATGAAATTTCACTACCGGAAATACAAAAAAATACTCGTATCATAGAGAGAGAATTCAAGAAGAAGAATTCAGTTTCCCTTCTGGATTGAACTCTTCTTCGATGATACATGTCCTTTTTCGCATTTCAGTAAGCATGTACCATCAAGCCCCCAGATAAGTTTTACAAAGATTTCACTTCATTTTGCTGGGTACCCGACTGCGCAAGTGGAGATAAACATGCATTCCTGATAGGCTCAGTGCTTGGCGCTGACATTGTTCACGGTATCTTATTAATAACATGAGTGTGGAGAAGGACACAGGAACCTGTAAAAAACGGTAGTGAAAGCGAGAAAGAAACCAGTCTCTCGTCGTAGAATACGGAGTTCTTTAGGGTCCTTTCAAGAGTTCCCACATGCGAGAGATAGAAAGAGGCTACTCTATAAAGCATTGCATTATGCTTACACCACAGTTCTGCTAACCTCGATTTCTACTAAATTCCCATTTTTCGTCACCTCAAGTTCAAAAGCTTGCCTACCGGCTGCTGCGTAATACGTAGGCAGCCAGTCAGGTGATGTGGAAGAGCTGCCTAGTGGCCTTGGCACGTGTGGCCAGCCACGGTGTCCACAGAAATCCCGGACCTCGCACGCCACCCTCGGCCACGGTGCCTTTGGATCCCCTCAGAGGCCAATTGGGTGACGTGTTGCGCGAATAGCCCACGGGTGCACCACCGTTGTCAGTTGAGAAGCCAATGATCGTGTTGTTGAGCAGTCCCGATTTGTAGAGGGCCTCCACGATGGCACCAACCGCATTGTCCAACTCGGCCAAGCTTCCTGCGTTGAGTGCGACCAGCAACTGATGCTTAAGGCGAATTCATACCTGTGGCTGCCAACCATTCACGCGACCATTTGCAATTGGTGATCACTGATCACAAAGCGACTCTAGGCGACCGATGTTCATAGCTACGCGCGACTTACACCCGTAGCCTGACGTGATTCACACCTGCTCGCATATGGCTCGCATTGCCATTGCCCCGTAAATAAGCTGACTTCCTGTGACTGCGCATGTATAGTTGCTTCAGAGATTTGCGACGACTGTAGTCGCAAGACCGCAAAATCAAGCAGCAATCGACAGAGCCAAACGGGTCACTTTGCATCTAAAGGGGCCAGTGGCGATCATCTGCGACAAATTAGACACACGAGTGGTGCAAGTCACCGTAATGAATAATTGTTAAGAAGTCAAGCAAGTTTGCAGCACTCTTTATCATGCGAATATCATGTGAACTCTAGCGATAAATGATTAGAACAAGCGCTTAATGCCGGAGTTAGAAAAAATTGCTACACGTGGTGTCTTGTTCCCAAGCATGACAAAGCGAGGGTAGAAGGCGTTTGGCGTTTGCTAAAGTGGTGGTGGCCAGCATGAAGTAGCCCATTACAAAAAAGGATTTCGAATGATGTAGTCACGATTTGACTGCAAGTGTGACTCTCGGTAATATTTTCTCTAGCCGGTCGGCGAAATACCCGACATAACCTTGAAACCACATGCATGGAAAGGCTAACGTCAGTGTCTGAATGAAAAACGCTTCACGTCAGTTTCCTTTATTTATTGACCTTTTTTTTTCCTCTGGTGCGCGTGCACTCAAAGATAATATATTCCTCTGCAGCTTTCTTGTCCCTCTTCACAGTACCAGAGCAATGACGCGTCGCATCAGTTACTAAGTATACGTTTGATGGTTGCTGAAAAAAAAATTCCGACTAATGTAACCCTTTTTTCACGTGCAGGATTACATACGGCTTAATTCTTGGTAGCTTTGTGACATTAAAAATTTTGCACGGAATAATTCAATACACTGTACTATCGCAAGCTTTCCAGCCTCTCTTGATGATGATAACATGGACATATCAAAATTTTCATGAAAAGCTTCTCTCTTTGATCGCCAAGGTTTCGAACGAGTGAACGAAAAAAAAAAACGTCGTTCGTGTTGCTGAGTACTTTTGGTGAGACCGCTTTTCTACCTTAAAGGAAGAAAAGTAAAGTATAATAGCCACCCGAGGTCGGGTGGCTTTATATATTTTACTAACTGTACAGAGTCTTACCCCGTTTGAAGCTTTGCCTTCAGTCTTTTGTGGAAAAGCAAAGGATCTGCTGCATTTAGGTGAGTTGAACAATGTATTCTTCATGGCCTCTAAGTTTTATTTACCCGTACTATCGACACCAAAAAGAAGTCAAATTCCATGGTCATGCGTGACTTGAATACTCTTTGAAGTATGTGGTATTTTGATGCAGCAGTGCACAAAAGAATTCAGTCCTTGTGTTTGCGTTCTTTATGTGTGTGTGTGTTTCTGTATGCGTTTTGTGCGGTGATTTATCGAAAGGTCATGCCTCACCAACAAGCCCATCAGTACATATATGGTATTTGTCGTGCAAGAGACATTTCAATCAAGAAGGTAAGCAAAACAATAAAAGAAGTTTTTATAACTGAAGTATCATGTTCACGTAATATATCTCTATTCAATTTTCCATTTACTACCACCAAAGCAGTATTATTCTATTTCCTGTACAGTTTAGAGATTTTCAATCTACTCTGTTTTACAATATACCTTCGGAACAGACAGTTTAGAATGTGCACACTTTCTAAATAACACAGCCTCACAGTAATAGCAATATAAATATTACTAAGCGGAAAAACAAACAGAAGTAAACGTGGATGGACCCACACGCTTTAAGGTAAAATGAAAAGGAAGTGGGCACAAGGGAGTCGCCTTTAGCTCGGCTTGAACTAACGGCCATCGCAGCACTTCCCAATCGTTAAGTGAATCGCCCGAGGCATGCCACGGAATATCCTAGCAGTGTTCTATCTCCTCCTGGGCAGAAAGAACAAAGCAGGGAGACAAAGGGCTCTCTTCTCTACTTTTTATACTTCGCGTCCTTTGAGAAGAACGAAAGAGGTACGAAGGTGAACAAAAAGCAAAAAATATTTGGGGATTGGCTGAGTGTAGACGAGCTTCCAGAAGGTCGTTTCACATTGTGATAAGGAGGTTGTCTATTTGCATGCGGGTATCAAAATACGAGTATCTTCCGCTGTATCTTTATTAAATTTCCATCGAATACTCTTTCAATAAGAATATGATTATCGGTGCTGGCTGTTAGCGCTGCCCTCTCGATGTTAAAAAGAAGGCGGAAGTGGGAAGCTTCGGTGTAATATATTCCAATACCACGGAATAGAAGTGAACAAAGAAAAACAATTGATGCTACTTCCGTGCCTACCGCTTTATCCCAGCGAGAGTGATCTGCAGAAACCGCCATGTAAGCAGGGAAGATGAATGTATTCCCGACCTTGCTGCGGAGCAAAAAAGATGGCGAAGAAGCTTCAACAAAAAAGAGCAGATATAAAATCATACATATTCAGGAGAGTGTGGGCGATGTATTGAGCGAGTAAGTCTCCAGAGAATCACAACAGCTAAGCGCGTCTATCTGTATTACACGAATTTCCACTTCTAAATTATATATCAAGTATCAATTTGTAAGAACCGGAGGCATGCAAAAATAATGTGTGTCCAGCAGTATATCGGCTACATTGCAGCTGTATTTATATAGCCACATGCACCTATTTCTTTTGCATTAATTTGAATTCGGACTTCATCTTCAAAAACCTGTTACCACCACTTATCATCGGCCACTTAGCGTCACTTATTGCCACAATGCTTGGAAACTTCGAGATTGCTTTAGACTGTTTTTTTAGTACTTCGTGTAGGACTCGAGTAACCGTGTTTATTCTACAGAGCTAACGCGAGCATCAGCGATAGTGCTGGAAGGTTTGATACAGCTTGCGAAAAAGCTGACTGTTTCCCGGACGGGCAGGTTATCGACGAGCGTCATCCGTGTTATTATTGCGATAGCAATTATATGGGCACTCTCGGCTGGATTTTGCCGCCAGTGTCGGCGCCGACGTCGGCGTCGATGTCATGCACCATATATGTATATGTATTTATATATATGAAAACGCAAGAAAGAGAAAAATCTAGAAAAAGCACTCGAGAGCGCGAACGTGAGATTTCTGCGTCGTGAGAGCGAGGCGTTAACCACTGAACCACTCTGGAGAACGTTCTTCACCGTTCAAACGGCAAACTCTTTATGTCTGTCACTTACCGCTTCTGTGTTTTCGGCATTTTCGGCAATGAGCGCACGTCGACACATCGTGCAGCGGCGCCCGCCCTAATCTCCTATGCGTACTTTGCCCGGCTTAGAGAAGGTGAGCGACGCTCTCTCGCGCGCCCTTATCTCGCGATGGCGAGGAGGGGAGAATCCTACACCTTGGCTGGTCTCGGGTTTTACGTGGAACGATTCTGCTGTAGTTAACGGGTGCACAAAGGTCACTGCAATCATTGCAGTCTCCGTTCGCGAAAAGCGCGCGCTTTTCAGACTTAGAGAAAAAACAAATGAGACGCTTATTCGCGTGCATCCGTGTTTGTGAGTACGTTTCGTGCGTAATTTAAGTGCGAGAAACGCGGGGCACGTTTCAATCTGCTTTCTATTCTGCGCGTGACCTTTTAAATTGTTGCTATCACGTTCATTGCTTCGCTTTTGCGGCAACGCTGTGAGTTTTAGATGCGGAGCATCTTATACTCGCGCCTTGTAGTGCGCCGTCCGCGCCGTCCGCGCCGTCCGCACCGCTTCTCGAACATTCGACAGCTGACGCGCGCGCATGCGCCGTCGCGCCGTCGCCCACTCTTCCACCATCTGTGCATCCCTTCCTCCTCTACACACCGCGCGCGCTTCACTCCTCCACCATCTGTGCACCCTTCCTCCTCTACACACCGCGTTCGACATCTACAATTCTCCTGATTCTCCAGTGGACGCGCATGTGGCGTCGCGCTTCGAGAACATTCAACAGCTGACAGTGCATGCGCCGTCGTGCTATATATATACTCAAGGTCGGCGCTCGCTCGCTCAGTTGCCGCTCGTCGGTTGGTTTGTACGGCGCGTCGACGTCCAAGGTCGCGGTGAAATGAATTCCAACGAATCCACAAACACAATGATCGACGTCCCTTCGACCAGCGCCGCCCTTTCGCATACGTGTGTACGTGTTCACTCATTTAACACCCCCTCCTACAACCACGTTAACGAATTTAGCCATCGACCCAAGTAAGTCGCAATTTAACACCCCGTTTCACAACCACGTTAACCAATTTAGCCATCGACCCAAGTAAGTCGCACTTTAACACCCCGTTAACCAATTATATGGTCCGCATCCTCCTCAGTGTTCCCCCGAGGGAAGCTGCGGGCAATTTTTTTTGTTGTACAGCGAGTGTTAGTTGTGCTTTGAATAGTTCTTTTCCTGGGTCAGTTGCCGACATAAAGGTCGCAGGTTTGACCGTGGGCGCGGTGGTCACATTTCTCTGGCAGAGAAACGCTAGAGGCTCGTGCATACTCTGATTTAGTTTCACGTTAAAAACACCAGGTGGTCGAAATTTCCGGAACCCTACACTACGGCGTTCATTATAATCATGTTGTGGTTTTGGGATGTTCTGCCCCAGATATTGTTATTTCTGTTCCTGGGCCCAAGCTCACCCTAGTCATAAGGTTTAATATTTACAAGTTTTAGTTTTGCATCCTTCTAGTATGCAGCTACGTGACAATACGCTATGCGATTTTTTAATTAACACTGTCACGTTGTTTCGTGCGAAGATTACATAACGCTTTCAGCAACATTTCTAAGCGATGAATCACGGCCTTGGTACAAACGACATTGCAAATAGGAAACTGTGTGACCTTTACAACACACGACTCTTCAATCATCACACGAAGTGTTTTCTGTTTCCTTTTTTTCTGCTTCACTACTCACACATGTTGACCCGTTCTACTTCGTCTCTTGAAAATATTCTAAGCTCTCCACTTCAGATTCTAAAGCGATCAGTAAAGTAAAATTACTTTGCACAGCAGGCGTGCGCAAAAACAAGCCAGCACGAGCTATTGAGAGTGGAAAAAACACTGTCAAGAAAAAAAAGTCGTTGCCCTGATCTTGTTCGATAAAGCTTACATCATGCATTAACGTACCGGCGAAAATCTGCCTGTCGTAATCACCAAGGTAGGCGTACTTGGCCACGTACTCCTTGGGCGCCTGGAGGGAATCGTTCAGCCCGCCGCAGTGTACGGCCGTTGGGGCGAAATACAGAAAGAAGGGCTGCGGACAAGACGAGGCTCTTACAAGGGGAAACGCTATTGCAAGGTTAAAAGGCAGACGTGTGGCTAGTGGGAAATGTCGAGGCCGTATTCTGTAACGATTCATTCGGCATGGCTCTGCATTTTAATCATCATCAGTTTGCTCTACAGCAAGCTTCCGCAAATGCCATGTCTGCATGATTGAAAACGAATAAGTGAATCGTACGAAGGTAGTCATAGGCGTGTGAGAGCGGGGGAGGAATAAGGCAAGCGGCCACCCCACAAAATGATGTAAAGAGGGTGGCAGTTACGCCTCGCACCACAGTCAATAAGACACTTCCCATTAGTTTTTTTTTCATTGCACTGGGTTATGGCTGGGTTATGGCTACGCATTGCAATGGGCTGCGCAGGCACGCTATAGCAGAGCATGGCATACCCTTGTATAGTATCGCTCCGCTATCCGGGTGCTCTAGGAGAGCATAGCATAGCCTTGTATAGAGCAAGGGTTTGGGAGAGGACAGTGAGAGTGAGCAGAGGTGAGATGATGAGGAACAAAAGATGGAGATGGAGAGTAAATTATAGCATAGGGGAAAGAGCGAGAGAACGCACAGAGAGAGGAGGAATGTAACAGTGAAATAGAAGTAGAGACTTAAAAAATAAACAGGAAAAGCGCGAGTGAGAAATATGATAGAGAGAGAGAGAGAATGTGAAGGCTGAAATTAAAAGAATGAAAAAATGAAAGAAATGGAATTAAACAAACACAAAAGGGCATACTCAAAACACAGAGATACGAAGAAAAAAGAAAACATCGTAAACATTTGCGAAACAACAACAGGCTTCGCCCATCAACTTTGCTGTCTCTTTAGCATTGTGCCTCTTGTCAATGGTATGCTCATTTCTTTCTTTCTTTCTTTCTTTCTTTCTTTCTTTCTTTCTTTCTTTCTTTCTTTCTTTCTTTCTTTCTTTCTTTCTTTCTTTCTTTCTTTCTTTCTTTTTTTCTTTCTTTCTTTCTTTCTTTCTTTCTTTCTTTCTTGTGGCTGATTTGACCAAGAGGTCGTGGGTTGGAGGGGGAAGTGGGGTGAAATAGGCTCCCACTAATGTGGAACTCTGTGCACGCTTCTGAAAGTAACCATCACTCACAAGATAAAGATGCTTTGCTTTTTGATTATGTTACCGATTTCTTTTTCGCAAACGTTAATATCCGGTGATTGTGCTTACCTTACTGCTACTCTGGTTTCCGATGATTTCAGTCGCTTCTTTCACGAAGAGAGCGGTGAGATATCGTCCCATTTCTCCGAGCAGCGGCCTCTTATTCGACTTTAGTGCATGCCCAGATATATCCAGAGATGGCTGAATAGAGTTCAACGTAACAAAACAGTATCACCACTCGCATTAATCCCATGCATGATGCAGTTTCATCATTTATATAAACTACATACAAAGGCTCTTCTTATGAAATAAAAGCGTACGCAGGGCTAATAACATTGAAAATTGTTTAGTTAAAGTATATTGAAGCTAAATATAGCACTACATCAGTTACTTGTAGCACTGATCTTCGTTATAGAACGCGCTCACTGATGCATGAAAACTCAGCGATTGTGCTTAGACGTTAACAGTGCACGTATAACTTAAGACGATGCTGGGAAGTGTACCTTTTTATTACAAGAGTGGAGCTAAAAGCTGCTTTTTGAATACCGAGGGAAATTAATTAATTGATTACACTTCATCAGTTTCAACTAGAATATGCTAGCAACATGCCCTACACATAGAACAAATAGTATAAAAAAGCTTCTTGCTAAAAATGGTGTTCCGAAAAATACAAGTATACAAGTTTGGAAGTATGCAAAGAGAAACATGTATTTTAAGCTGCAAAGTGTACGAACTAGCTTTACGCATCACTTTTGAAACAACTGCCAGAAGTAAAATAGTATCTATAGTACAACACTTTTAAAAATATAACTGTTATCCTATCAATTAAGATATTTCAGCGTTTGCAGGGTCCTTCAATGTCCTATGTATTTCTTTTTAAGTCTGCGCCCTGTTCGAAATGTAGTGATGTTCGTTCTATTTGCGAACATTATTGAAATATGTCAAGCACGAAGACCTGGGTATGTGCTAATTTCTTTAGCGGCGCTGAAGTGACGTACATCTCTGCTGAAGTGGGTCCAATAATCGACTTCGCCATTATATACTCCATAGAACGTGTCGAATCCACGATTTATCGGCTTGTATTCATCCTTGCTGAATCCCAGGTGCCACTGCAATACAATACATTATGATTACGTACAGCAGAGCTCAATCAATCAATCGATCAATCGATCAAGAATACTTGTGAAGTTCTGCTACCTCACGCCTATGACTGCTTGAGCTTGAATTGCAGAGCCAGCAAAATACATTCGTGACTCGAGAGTTCAGAAAGGGTGAAGTACAAAATAAAATGTACTAAATGTCAGTGCCTGTGGAACATTACGCGGATAGAGATTAACTAAAACATTTACGTATACATTTTCAGCATATACATTTTTACCGTGATATATATATATATATATATATATATATATATATATATATATATATATATATATATATATATATATATATATATATAAGAAGTGTATACCTACGGGCTCGTTTTCCCGTGTTTTTACACAATAATAATGAGATATGACGGACAATAATGCCAAGGAAAGTATAGAGGAAGATATTAGACAATTGTAATGTAAATATGAGGAAAAGTGGGTGAAAAGATAACTTTCCGTGGGCAGGATATATATATATTGTGACCCCGAGGGGGGGGGGGGGGGTTCTGGTTGCCACCTAGGCTCCGACGATGGAGGAGAACTCTCACGGTGGTGGTGGTGAAAACATTTAATAACCTTTAAATGGTTACAGAGAGGTGATTGGGTTGGGGCCTTATTGGCCTCCTACCCTCACAGCACTAGGTGGAACCCCTATTCCGGGGCTCCATTGGCAAGCAACGCCGCCCGCGCACGTTGAACCAGAGCCTCTTGGGCCTTCAGGTCTTGACAGCCGAGCAGGGCCGCCTCCCAGTCCTCTCTCGTGGGATTGGGGTTGGGGGGGATAGATGGATTAGACTGGCACGCCCAGACGATGTGAAAGGTGTCAGCCACCTCACCACAGAACTGGCACGTGCCATCAAAGGATGAATTGAAATGTTTTAGCACCGCCGGGCACAGTACAGTATTGGTAAACAGTTTTAAAAGGAGGCGCTCGTCAGCGCGATGCAGTCCCTTACAAGGGTCTGGATAGCGCCGGTGCTCCTCCTTGTAGTAATTGGTAATATCTTTGAATGAAAGGGCCGAATTGTCTGATTGCGAGTAGGCTTCCAAAGACAGGGAGATAGCCCGGGAAGAGAGTGCGCGGGCGGCCTGATCGGCCTGTTCGTTACCCCTGAGTCCTTGGTGACCGGGTGCCCAAACCAGATTTCGCGGAGTTGGATTAACGTATCGGCAGCTAGGTTTCAGTATGCGCTGAGCAAGCGGTGAAGCCCACCCTAGCTGATAGTTCCGACAGGCCCCTCGTGAGACGGTGATGATATGTTTAGAAGAGGGATAGGTGAGAGCCAGAGCGATGGCAACCTCCTCCGCGTGTGTTGCGCAACTCTCACGAGGCTTCTTACAAAAACCACACGTGATATTTAGGCGGAGAAATACGCCTTTACATGAGACACGACGGGGCCAGCGAAGGCCAGAGGGAGAGCCTTTAGTGCACGCGTGACGTGCTATTTATGCCGCCAGTCCGTGCATGCGCTTCTCGTAGAGCGTCTTTCGCAGGACGTCGACTGCGTGTGGCAGCAACGCCAATGCGCGTTCGTTTCGAGCGAAGGCGAGCGAGCTTTCCCGTCGCGGCAGATCGGAGTGCAGCGAGTGCCGCAGAGCCATCTGGTGAGCGCTCGTGTACTAGCGGCTGGCTACGACGTGACAACGGAAGATCCTCGGCCTTAAAGAGTTTCGCACCTAAAGTCTTCGATTCGAGAGAGAATCAAACCCAGGCCATATCCGTGGCAAGCAGGTGTTGTGCCCCACAGCTAAGCTATCACTTCAAAACACTCGGCGAGTAAAAAAAAAAGAATATTTTATGAAGCGTAGAAACTTGGGCAAGTTGGTAGGACATAACTGAATGTAGGAACAGCGCAACCTAGAAGTAGTTACTTCGTAACTACGGAAGCGAAAAAACAAGGACAGCTTCCGTAGTTACGAAGTAACTACTTCTAGGTTGCGCTGTTCCTACATTCAGTAAAACCTTATGAATTTAGTATGGTGAAGGAGCCCCCTTAACACGTAATATTGCGTGGCAGAAGCGAGCATTGCGTCAGCGGTCAAAAGATGGGAATTGAGCAACGAGTCGGTGCAAAGCCTTCCGACATATTTGATCGTCATCAGCTGCAAAAGCTCGAATGAAGTTAAGAGCTGCGCAGGTTTATGTGTTGCCCTACAGACACGCAATGGGCCCTTCATTGATTCATAAAAGAAATAATTATGGCGTAGTGGGCACTTAACAACTGTGCTCGCAGTAGGCATTCGAGGATACTTTGAAACAGCCAATGTTAGCGCTCAGTCGTTCGCATTCTTACGGCATGGTTGTTGAGGCATGCGCCGAGATCTGAAGTTAGGCGATCAATTGAGAAAGCGATGGCGTGGGGCCTGATTACGTAGAGCAGTTACGCTCTTAAATGTGAAGCTCAAGTGTCCTCCAAGTTTTTTTTCTGGTGATACAACGAGACAAACTTAACCTTTCTTCCCCATTTCATTTCGCTGACGGCTCGCGGTGATTTTCGCACTGTTTTATTCGACCATCGACGTAACGATGTGCTCACGTCAGCATGATTTGCGTTCCCATGCCGCCATGTCTACAAACATGGTGAATTTCTTGCCACTAGTATAGGGCGAACGCTTATAGTTGAGATAGCTTTCAAGACGTAGAAAGGAGTAAATCCTCAATAAAATGGCTTTTTGACTAATACCAATTGTACCATTATTCTATATGAACTGTTTGCTGATCTATTTTCATATGCTAGACTGCACACCAGCTTTCCGACTGTGCATTTATCCTTTTCATTCAATGCTCTTTGTTTCAGGAGTACTTGCATATATTAGTTTTTTTTTTTCAGTTATTGGATGGAGAGAAAACGATAAGGCAATATTCGTGCTGCAATAAGAATACGATAGTTAATGGGCAAACATGCTGCGTTAGGGCCTATATATATTCCCTTATTGCTGCCACTTCTCACCTTGCCAACCATGTGGGTTGAGTAGCCTAAATCTTTGAGGTACTCCGGCAGTAGTTTGAGGTCGGGGTCCAGTCCGACGGGTTGAGCGCTACGAAAACTTGAGTGCTGCGTTCCTGTGGCGACAAAGAAATGACGGTGAAACGCAAACATATATGCCCCAACTTCTGCGAGAACCGGGGCACCTTCAGGCGTTGTCGCACGCAGAAGATGCCAAGTAAAAAGAAACTAAATGTACTGAGTTGCCTACAGAGCCCGCGCTTATAGTTAATTCTCCGAGACTGGCCCACCTACTCGGCACACGTTCACAAAAAGCCTGACTGCCAAGCTGAAAAGGCTATTAAGCCTAATACAAAGGTGATGATAAAGGTCCCCTGTACACCATGTGTGTGTTATGGTTCTGGTGACCTTGTTTCTCTGCCTGGTCATATGCGCCTCACTTGAAATTGAAGCTGATGGCACAGCTATAGTTATACACAACAGCGTTACGAAGTGCGCAGGAAAAAAAATTGACGAACACTTCCGAGTGCTCGAACACTACAAGAAAAACTGAGGGAGATAAATAAAAAGCTTTCAGGAAGCTTGAGAGAATATAAAAGTTCACCATTCCCAATAAGCTATTTCGTACAGAGTGTGTTCTGTCCTAAAATAATGGTTGCCTGATTAAAGCACCACCGTTCCCAAATGCTTCTAATTCTTTAGCGATAAATGTACGCTTTATATCGTGGTCCTTTTGAATTAAGTCATCGTCTACTCTATTTGATTAGCTGAAGCACGTTGATGGGCTAGGTGACTGGGATTCATAAAATGGTGCAGCACGACTGCACGTACCGGGCCGAGAACACGACAACACTTTCAACTATACAAGTATTGTGTGGTAGTCTAGAACTATTCCTCAAGATGATGATATACAACAGCTGCATTTTACCGGTACTCACCAACGATGCAGAAATCTGGAAGCTTACAAGGGTTCAATTGAAATTCAGGATGACGCAGCGAGCGATGGAAAGGAAAAGTATAAGTATAACCTTAAGGGACAGGAAAAGGGCAGAGTTGGTCAGGGGATAGACCGAGGATGGGGATATCGTAGTTAGAATCACGAAGAAATGGACATGGGCCGGTACGTAGTGCGTAGGCAGGATAACCGCTGTTCATTAACGGCAACCGGGTGGACTCCAAGAGCAGGCGAACGCATGAAGGGTAGACAGAAATTCAGGTGGGCAGATGAAATTAAGAGGTTTGCAGGTATAACGCGGCAGCAGAAATCACAGGACCGGGTTTATTGGCAGAACGTGAGGGAGGCCTTTGCGCTGCAATGGACGTGGTCAGGATGATGATGATGATGATGATGATGATGATGATGATGATGATGATGATGATGATGATGATGTCAGCGTGTGCTGTAAACGATGCAGAACAGCATTTCAGCACACTCTAAACTTCGACACGTGTACACATCATGATAAACACTTAACTTTCTCAAGCGATAAGGCCAGGTATTCGAATGACCATAAATGAATACTCACACATCTTGTCATTTTCGTTTTATATTGCAGTCATTTCTATGACACTTGGAGCTAATAAGAATAGCCGTGTTTCCTAATTTACACTCAATTGTAATGAATTGCACTTTTAATAGTTTTTATGCAATGATTTTTTACATCTTTATTGATGAATTATTACTGTCAACAGTAATACATTACTCAACGATGTTTCCTGCTTATAACCTGACAAAAAATCTAATATGTTTCATCATATTTTACTCAGTCATTTCTTTCTGCTGTGTCAGTGCAGCAAATATTATTTCGAGAATGACAATGCAATTTACCGCAACATGGTTCGTGTTCTCTTTAAGGCGGATGCTAGTCGAAAAACAATTTTTTTCCCAATATTGCGTATTTTTAGTTATTTTCGCTTTGATAAGTATAGCTTTTCTGCTATTATTACAAAAACGAATGACTGCAGTTAAACTCGAACTAGGTTATAAAAAACACAAGCGGGCTTCTGAAAACTGTAGGGACGTCATTGTCATCATAGTGTCTACTGGAAATTGTCCCCTGCGTTCTTGCCATTGCGTTTCGCTTGAGGAGTTCCCTAAGCCACGTGCTCAAAATAACCACGATTGTCAAGCCATCGTGACAGAAAAATATCATATTAGGCTAACAAATATTATCTTTTCAGCATAGATCAGCTTTCAGTTGTACCTTTCAAATGCCTTTTTCCCAAAATCCATTTTTGGGCAACTTATTGAGTTTGGACATTATGTTTTTGGTCATTCTGATGGACCGATGTGATGAAAACTTTCATACATACTTCTCAACATGTAAAGAATGCAAGTTTAAAACTTGCCTTTAAAACTTGATATAAGCTGTATAATTTTTGCGAACCTAAAATGAACAATTTTTATGGGCTGGAGATTCTAAGAATTGTCATATTACAATTTTTCTCGCCAATTAAAGTGTTTTATATGCACTTTCTTGATAGTTATTTGCATTTTTTCGGTTAGAATAGAGCAATATTATCCATTATTCATTCAGGTCCATAAAATTTTAGTGGGATAAAAAGTTTGTCAAAATCAACTATACGTCACATATTGTCTTGGCACAAAACTAAAACAATACAACTTACTAACTAATTATATATTTGAAATCAGCATAAAAGCCTATATATGCAGCACAACTTTCATTGTCCTAGGCTAGAGAATAACGCAAGCTTTTTTTTTCGAATGACATTTCCCCTTAATACATGATAGACGTTCATATTAGTTTTTAAACCACTGATTATAATTGTTGTGGTATACCGTTCCAAAACCATGAAATGATTATGAGAAATGGTGAGGTGGAGGCGTCTGAAAATTTCGACCACCTATAGGGTTATTTAATGTGTACCTACATCTGGGCAGATGGTTCTGACGTGCTGCACTCGACGTCTACAGTGCCGAACTTTAGTCTTTTGTAGGTTGGCGTTTGCTCCGAGTTAGAATTGTGACGATTCAGCAGTTCGACAGAGACCTGCTTTATAAACGCGAACGTTTGCAGAGATAGTGCAACAAAGTTTCCGCGGAGCTCATTACAGAGATGTAGAAGGATCGATCGGTACAACGGGTAAACAGCGTCCAATCAGGCGAAAGAGCCATCGATAAGTCTTCCTTTCTTTAGCCGTGGTACTGGTCCTATTTTGAGCCGTTTTACCGAGACGCCATTGCGCTCTTGCGCTCACAACAACAACCCTGTTTTCAGTGCACAAGCCGTGTTTAGCGCGGAGACGTAGCATTCTATTTGGAAGTAACACACCCGAGAGAGGGCGAATATCTCGTACATCTGCTTGAAGCTGGACTCCGAATTCAAAAAAGAAAGACAGAGAAAAAAAGATCACTGAATTAAGAAGAAGTGGCCTTACAAATGTGGCTGATTTAATAGCGAAGTAGAACCGTAGAACGTTGGCACCCGTAGCAGAAACTTCTGATCAGTTTTCACGGCAATCCCTGATTGCAGCAGGACTGTGGATCACGTGCAGTAGAACACGTGGATCAGTGCCTTTATTACAATGAATCGATCAATTTTTTTTATTTCTTGCTAGCACTGCTCCCCTGAATCGGTCAACACTTGGGCGCGCGTGTCGCTGTCGCCGCTCGCTCTTACAACAGAGCCTCTAAACCACATTTCCGTAAAATATTGTTATGCGGATTCGTTTATTCAATAACGTGACCGGGCTTCACTCACACGAACTGTTACACGTGTCACCACCACTAGGACTTCGATTTAACATTTGGGAAACTGCACGATTGTTTCTGACTACGCTCATACGATAAGACGCACAACGCGGGTAGCAGAGATTTTTTTTTTAACCTGAAGTTTACTCGAATACCAGTGATGACGTTGCAATGTTCGATCACCGATGATGTAAAGACGACGTGCTTCACCGACGATCAGATTATTGACGACCGGCCAACGTTTTAGTGTTACATGCTAATATGTATACACTGGGGGTTCCTCTGGCCGGGTATACAAGTCCACCCAATAAACAATGCAACCTTTAGCAATATAACCACTTGCCTTTTCACAGCCTCCATCATGTGACAATATCTGGTGCTCACACAAATCGATATCGATAAATAGCGTTCGATCTGTCCACTGCGTTAATTATTTTCAAGGTAGGACAATCTAAATGTGGGGCACATCGCCAATTCCATACTATAGCACAGCATTAGATGTGAACCTCCATGCATGGTTTCTAAAAAAGTGTCGTCCGGTCCGCCGATTCTCGCCAGCTGGAGCAAGTCACGACAGTTCTTCGGTTCAGCCAACACACACAAAAAAATCTATTTGCCGAGGATTTTTCTCGTCTTTTATGTCTACCCTTCTGTTCGCATTTTTTCTAGGCTGTATGCATCTACGAACTGTACCAATAAATTGATGCAATTGTATCCCAAACTGAATACCTTGCACTGTTGTGCTGGTTGACGATTGCGTTTGCTGTGCATTTACACAGTAGAACTATGCACTGTATCTGAATGACAACATCTCAACAACGTAGTAAATAGTGTAATTATTTATCAAATAAACACATTGCGCATGCCTTTCTCAGGCCTACAGGCATCCGGCATTGCAGTTAACGAGATCTGATGATAGTGCCAGAATATACAGCCTAGTGAGTAGGCGCTGCAAAACCGAGTCTTCCAATGCGTAGCCTAGCGAGTAGAGGCTGCAAGACCGGACTTACCAGAGCATACTATTTTCTTTTTTAGTAGTGAGCAGGTGAGTCACGGCTGATTATGTAAGCGCCCAGGAAGCGTTATTTGAAAACGCGCCAAAAAGGGCATTGACACTTCAGCGTCTCAACGTGTACAGCGAGAGTTTCATTTTGTTGGTATCCCTGGCGGTTGGTACCAAAGACGCTGAGGCGGCCCAATATAAGGTCCCTAGATGAAGCAACTTTTTTCATCTGGGGACCTTAGCCCAATAAGCTTCGTCGCGCCCTCTGGTCTACGGTCGGGTGCCTATTGAGTGTGGTGTATCTGTTTGCTCGGTCTCCCAAAGGCTGTGACACTATTCAGTACTGACCTGCCTCTCGTATAGGCCCACTTCTGTCGCCACGTGAAATGGCCGTTCCGTCCTCCGAGGTGGAGCGGTCAGTGTGGGGCAAGGCTGTTCAGTCGAAGATAGCAGGATGGATGCCGGCCGCGGTGGACGCATTTCGAATGGAGGCGAAACGCTACAGGCCCATGTACTGTGCGATGTCATTGAACATCTTAGAACTCCTGGTGGTCGAAATTTCTGGAGCCCTGCTCTTCGGCGTCTCTTGTTATCATGTCGTGGTTGATTTGATTGATAAGATATGTGGGGTTTAACGTCCCAAAACCACGATATGATCATGAGAGACGTCGTAGTGGAGGGCTCCGGAAGTTTCGACCCCCTGGGTTCTTTAACGTGCACCCAATTCTGAGCACACGGACTTACAACATTTACGCCTCCATCGAAAATTCAGCTGCCGCAGCCGGAATTCGATCCTGCGACCTGCGCGTCAGCAGCCGAGTACCTTAGCGGCTAGACCACAGCGGTGGGGCAATCATATCATGGTTTCAGGACGTAAAACCTAGAGCATTATTAGTGTTCATAAGTTGCTTTGAGGCTTGTGTGCGTCATTCGACACGCGTGACCGCGTATCACCTGATAACATGCAACGTAACGCCCGAACTTCTTTCGTGCCATCTACCATTAACTATTTTTCTCCTAACGCGTGCTCTCCACTTATTACGCCCACGAGGCTGTTTCCTTGCAAGAAGGATTCGCGCACTGCTTTGCCTCAAAATGATCCAAGTGAATTTTAGACGGGCTGCTGATTGGACGTTCACTAACACGTCTGAAACATGAAGCTTTCTATTAAATGCGAAGCATTTCTTAGCGAACTTCGGCGAGTTTCAGCGTATCTATCTATCTATCTATCTATCTATCTATCTATCTATCTATCTATCTATCTATCTATCTATCTATCTATCTATCTATCTATCTATCTATCTATCTATCTATCTATCTATCTATCTATCTATCTATCTATCTATCTATCTATCTATCTATCTATCTATCTATCTATCTATCTATCTATCTATCTATCTATCTATCTATCTAATAATAACATTTAATAATAGAATGAAGTCATCTATATGGTAGCGAGTAGTGCATAGGCAGGATATAACCACCGGTCCTTAAAGGTAACTGACTGAATTACCAGTGACGGCAAACGCACGACGGAGAGACTATAGGTGGGCCTTTCGGATAAAAAAAGTTAGCAGGTATAACGCGACAACCGAAAGCAGAAGACCGAGCCGATCGGTGGATCATGGGAGAGGCCTTTGCCGTGCAGTGGGCGTAGTCAAGCTGATGCTAATAATAATTCTTGTTATAATGATGATGATGATGGAGTCATTCATGTTCGGGCACGACTGCTAGTGGGAGGTCCGCGGGCCGCGTGCTTGAGACCCCTGGCCTAAACAAACTGGTTAGATTTATATCGACTATCCAGTGTAGTAGTCTCACCGGTGTGTATGGGGTAGTAGCCCGTGAGCAGCGCAGCACGAGACGGGGTGCACAGTGGCTGTACGTAATTATTGGCCAGCACCACGCCGTCCATGGCGAGCACGTCGATGTTGGGCGTCGGGATCTGGTCCGAGCCGTGGTAACTCACGTCGTGCCAGCCCTGCACCAGGGAACCGTGACATAAACAGCCACGCCCACGCAATGGCCGAAATTGTACACGTCGCAAATGCGGAACTCTACTCTCCTTTATAGAAAAGCGGGGAAGCAAATCACGCTAATTTTGTGCCCTGTTTGTTTTGTTCGACAGAGGAGACGAGTCTATTGTTCTGAGTTTTGTTCACTCACTGAATAAAAGCTTGTATTGTATGACCTTTCAGCTGAATGGCTTAGCATAAGTATAGTGCTTTTGTTAGGGGCACAAATACTATAGGCCAGCATTGGTGAAGTTCATGTGCAAGTGCTATTCTTTATTAGGATAGGGCAACTGCCGAACACTTCAAGCAAAAAAATACTAATGTAAGCTGTTGGTCTACGTTAACACCATACAGCAGCATCATGTACGTGAATGAGCAAGCACACACTTTTTTAAGGCTCGAAGACAGGCAGCTCCCATTCATGTGTAAATATCTGTGAAGTAGCCAATGGCGTCCTACTCCACATAAAAGCTTTAGAAGCTTCATAACAGTGATCCGCTGTCTCACCTGATACTTTGGCTATCACAGAATTTTGGTGCATGCGTCAAAGCATAGATTACTTCGGAAATAAGTAGGCCGCTTTCAATGTGCAAGAAGCAATGGGGACTACATTTTCACTGTAACACATTTACTGATGGACGTGCCTCGCTATTTTCAATCGATGCAACATTCTCAGTGGGTCATTTGTATTCGCGGGATTTCGGGTGCGCTAATGATGACAAGGAAGATAACTAACTGATCCGTTCGAAAGCCGCAGCACGAGAGAGCCAAAATACGGCGTTCCTGGGGGCTCTGTCCTCGACTGTTTGTCTGAGCACGACACATTATTACTTCCGTAACAGAGCCCCCCGTGTTTTAATTGATATGTGGGGCTTAACGTCCTAAAACCATCATATGACTATGAGAGACTCCGTAGCGGAGGTCTCCGTAAATTTAGACCACCTGGGGTTCTTTAACGTGCGCCCAAATCTGAGCACACCAGCCTACATCATTTTCGCCTCCACGAAAATGCAGCCACCCCCCTGTGTTTAATGACCTACCACAATATTGAAGATTGTCGTGGGCTGATTGTCTCTTAAGAAGCAAATTGTAGTGTGCCCTGATCATACATTTTAAGTGAAAGCAAACACGAATCAATGATCAGTATAATTTGGCATGTATACGCTCACTGCAACATCCTTATTAACATTACTATGTGCCGACAAAAATATTCGTATCCAAAATCTCGAAGTGCTTTGTTGTAAAGTGATGTTTGCCATTGCCGGACAGCATTCCTTTATATTAATTAACAATCCCCTACAAGAACGTGGCTTGAACTTATTCTTGTGAACAGTGTAGCTTGATGAAATTTTGTGAAGACGGGCTTCAATATTGCGTCCTTTATAGAGAGCAAGGTGAACAACCTCAATTGTAAAGTGGTAGTCAAATAAAAGCTTGCCTCTTAGAAACACTGTGAAACTAATGGTTTGCAAAGAAGAATGTAAGTAGTACTTGTTATTTCTTCATGGTCTATCTACGAGATACGTTTTGTTTTATGACGAAGCTATGCCAACTCGCAAAAATATCATGGTTCGTAATATGTAAGAAGAAATGAAAGTTCTCACACTAGCATTTTTCCAGACACCGTTCTATTGAATGTGCCTGCAGTATATAACAACCAAGATTGTTATCAAACCGGCCAGCAGGCTAGCAAATCTACATTTGTGAGCATATATGGAAGACCATATATAAAATGTTGATTACATGAGATAATATATGTCGTATGGTAGATTATGTGCATAATATGAACGTATATATGTACGGAAATACATGGGATAACAGCGAACATCGAGCACGGCAACTATATTCTGCAGGCGGACGTGTTGTGCTATAGTTGGTGTTCGCTGAAGTTCACGGTGTAGCGCAAAGATCCTAGTACAAAGAGGCTTGTTGTATGTTTGCTCGTCTTTGTATTTGTCTATTCGTGATATCCAGAGCGACGATCAGTGCAGCCGTGTTCGAGTTAGTTACCAGGTCATCGGCGAGGATCATCACGATGTTCGGTGGCTGTGCTGCTCGTGTCAAGGAGAGCAGGAGCGTGACCCAAGCTGTACAACACTGCAGGGTGCGGGACATTTTCGGTGTCCGGTGGCGGACGACAAACTGCAATACGGACGATCCGTGAGATCATGTTGCGCAGAGTCGGCCGTGCTTCTTACACTATTATCAAATAATATACCATAACATAATATAAAATATAACATATTATGTTATATGACACTTTTACATTGTAAAAGAACAGCAGAAAGGGGAACTTGGACTTGTCTTTATCAAGTCTACAAGGCTTGCCTGCTTTTTGAAGCAGACAAGTCCACTTCTTGAAACGTCGGTTAGGGGACACACCATGTGTTTACGGAATTATCCATCGTAGTTGCACAACATTCTCAGGGTTTCCTACTAAGACGAATACGAGGAGAACACCATCCTTTTCTCCTCAGTCTGCTGTATAGATTCCACACGAAAGCTTTCCACGTATGACGTCAAGATGATGTCGTGATTATTTGATATATGCTTGTAACATGTGAAGTCATGATGGCACCATAGATTAACGTCATCACGCGATCATTTTTAAGAAATCCCTTTTGTTGGCGCTGCCGACGTTGACGGCTACTTTTCACCTTCGATGAGGTATCGAACACTCTCGCCCAAATATTTCATGGAAGTAAAGTCAATACATTTAGGGGGCAAGGCGGGTGAGACACTGACACGACTTCGTTGTAACGCTTCTTGTATATTTTTCAATTTTCCGCTCATAACATGACAACAGAGCGCAATGTCAGACAATCTTCATTTCTTCGAAAGTTAGATGACTTGCGTGTTTCTTCCTGCAGCTCAAATAATAGCTTCTTTCTTTTAGGTTGCTTCTAAGAAAATCAGCATCGAGTAATCAATTGTAAAATCAAAAACTATCCCACCATACTAAATACAAGTACCAACAAAACGTACCTGAGACAGACCACTTGTTTTTGGACGGCAGGCTTGGCAGGTTCTTCTTCTTCTTTTCTTGTTTTTGCTGTGTACATGCAGAATGAAGAAAACGAGAACACGCCTAAATTGTGTAAGTGTCGTCAAGGATCTTGACTTGACTTGACTTGTGTGAGTGTGGCTTCCACAGCTTTGTCAGCTAAAGAAAAAAAGTATCTAGAAACTTCACTTTGACGTTGGCGGGTGGAATTTGTCGCAATCGGTGACTATGCGCGCATGAGCTCTGCTGTATCTTAACATGATCTTTTGCAGGTTTGATTGGTCTACCGTTATTATATAATAGCATGTGTGATCGCAAATAAAACATCAGTTGCAAGTTAGCGCTGTGTGTGTGTCTCTCTCTCTCTTTTTGTGTCCTTGTCGTGGTGCGCTATACTCATATAAATGATAAAATTACAAAAACGTTTAAGATTAGGCATTCGTATGAGGAATGTTTATTCGAACCACAATAATTATTTTGGAACCTACTGGCTAGCACACGTATGGACATTTTTTTAAGTTGCGATATTTTTCAAGCACGGATATTGTATAACTTGCTCATTAGCCTTCCCATTCAAGCATTGACAATAAAAAATATCCGGATTTTAATGAAGCTTCACATCCTGGAGCTCTTCTTCAATTTCATTCACTTATGAACAATGCATTATATTTACACGCTTAATGAAAAAATTCAATCTTTATGGAAGGAAAAGACACGGGGACAGTTTAGAAGCTATTGAACATGTGTTGGATTGGAAAACATTTATTTTTTTGCGATCAGATATCAACCATCTTTCCTGGCGGAACCTCACACCTTATGTAGCATTAAAGATCTTAAGAACAACAACAACAACAAAAAAAAAGATCGCTAACATACAACGTCGAAAATAAGTGCCCATAATGCTCCAGAAAATAAAACTGATTCAAATGGGCCGTTCATGGACGTATCGGCATCAAGAGAAAGCTTAAGTGCGTTTCCGTATTCCCGCTTTGGAGTAATAATATTACCTGGGATATTACGTCTCAAAAACATGATACGATTACGAGAGGTACCGTAATGGGGGGGGGGGTGCTCTGAAATTTTGACAATGGGGTGTTTTTTTTAACATGCACCGACAACGCACAGCGCATGGGCCTCTAGCATTTCGCCTACACCCAAATGCGACCGCTGCAAGAGGGTTCGAACCCCCGACCTTCAGCTTGGCATTGGAGCATCATAGCCACTTCCCACCTCGGCGGAGTCACTGCTTATCAAATGGACGGATTACCGACTATTATACAACACGTGGCATGGGGTACAATGCTTCTGCAGAATCTGCATCTGCGTGCTTCTTCTGCATCTGCATCTGCATGTAGATTCTGACTGTAAGAGAAAATTAAGTTAATTGTTGAGACGAAACCCATTGATGCCTCATTAATCTCTAAAATCGCCCGGTGGCCCGCGTGGGCTTCCCCCGTCGGTGGCGTCAACAAGAGTGAAGCAAAAAAATCATCATCACGCGATGACGTCACCATATAACGTGGTCATGACGTCACAGATAGCCAATATATGCGAAATACGTAACGTCGTGACACTGAAGCCACGTGATCGAAGTAACGTCTCAAGATGTCATCACAGAGCGTCACAGCTACCGATCACGAAAGCAGTGCAAAACCAGGTGATGCGCCTCCAATCTTGGAGGCCATGCAAAGCTTCGTTAGGAGCAGAAAGCTTTCGGAAGGTGTCGGCGAAAGATCAATCCAATTGACTTAGAATAGTAACAGGATGGTTTTCGCTACCCAGACGTCTTAGGTGAGTGCACAAGGGACGCTGCCACTCTTATATAAGAAAAAACGAAAATCTCTTTCGATGTATATAGAACGCTATCACGCCTACGAAAACTTGTTTGTCTTGTTTTCGTCACACTACATTTAAACTTCAAGTTCTACAGTAAATATAATATGTGGGCATTCCCGCACCAACACCACGATAGGGCTATGAGAAATGCTTTGGTGGTGGACTGAATTAATTTTCACCATGTGAGCATCTTTAACATGCTCCTATATCTAAATACACTGGTGTTCTTGGAGTTTGCTTCATCTAAATGTGGCCACTGAAACCGAAAATTGAGCTCGCGTACCGGATGTTAACAGCACGATGCTTTAGCTTCTAATGGTGGGTGGGTCTGCTGACTCTCCTTCAGATATGTATGCTTAGACATAGCTACATATCTAGTTTCATGTGTCGCTCATCACGAAGAACGCATCCGCATTGGCGTCACCTAGACATGTTTTTAAATGCGAAGGATTTCTTAGCGAACTTCGTATCTATCTTAGCGTATCTTAGCGTATCTATCTTAGCGTATCTTAGCGTATCTTAGCGTATCTATCTGTCTATCTATCTATCTATCTATCTATCTATCTATCTATCTATCTATCTATCTATCTATCTATCTATCTATCTATCTATCTATCTATCTATCTATCTATCTATCTATCTATCTATCTATCTATCTATCTATCTATCTATCTATCTATCTAGCCGCCTATGACTTTTAGTTCTCCTGGCCGTTTCGATAATGGTATTGATACCAAACTTGGTATGGCATAACATGACTGTATGAAGAACATATTTGTCGAGTCATAACATGAAAATCAAGATATGTATGTGATGAATGTCATGATTTAGATTTCAAGGTGCTGCAGCTCTTGCGGTAGTTTCCTTCACATGGCATGTTGCAAAACCGGTATGGTATGGCCTGATTGCATGGCGAACACAAGCGACAGACCCTAACATGAAAATTATGACATGCGTGTCATGTACCAACATGACTTCATGCCACGCTCATAATGCGCTCGCGGCCATTTTGCTAGTGGGACATATACCAATTTTGGTATTACAGTACGTGAATGGATGACGACAGTATGATACTGGTGCAAACATGATAAACATGGGACGCGTGTCATGTAACAACATGACTACATGCTACGCTCATGATGCGCTCGCGGCCGTTTCGCTAGCTTCTCATGTACAAAACTTGGTATTACGTGACGCTAACGAACGACATAGCTAAATGACACATCTAAACATGATAATCACGACATGCGTGTCATGTTACAACATGAATACATGCCGCACTGATGATGCGGTCACGGCCGTTTCGCTTGCTTCACGTATGCCAAAGTTGGTATTACGTGACGCCAATGAATGTCGAAGGTATGCGACTGGTGCCAACATAATAATCATGAGATGCGTGTCATGTGAGAACATGACAACATGCTAGAGTCAAGGCGCCAATACATTTCGACGTGACGCGGTGCGCGTGCTCGCTGGCGTTCATTTCATGCGACGTGACGCGCACCGCGTCACGTCGCGTGCTCGCTGGCGCTCGCTGGCGACGTGACGTGGTGCGCGTGCTCGCTGGCGTTCAGTTGTACACAGGCAGTATTTCAATGTTTATTGTAGCGGATGGTTTATTTGCACGTGCGGCGTCAATCACTGTGCAGTTTAGGAGCAGTTCATTATTGTACTCACCAAATCGCGTAGGCAGATCCGTAGACGCGTCGCAGGTCACCTTCGCGGGGGCTTGACATAAATGCACAGTTGCTATCATTGCAGTGAGTATCAAGTTCCACGGGCCATCAGAATGGTCAATCGGGTGAGTCGGTGTGCTCCCATCTTGAGCGAATACTAGTGCCACAAAAACTACGACGATAAAGAGAAGACTGACTGCAGCGCTGTCTCACAACTGAATTTTATTCCGAAATGAAGCGGAATAAATAGCATGTAATTACTAAATAGCAAGGAACCATCACACATGCAAAACAAACAACAAAAGTCTGTGTAGTTGATGAGACAAGAACGTGACGCAAGCCATCCGTGAGGTATGACACTTCTGCATATGACTGTGCTAACGAAAGCTGACAGAGACTACTGTCACCTTCCAGTGACATGTAGAACATCTCCATCATCTTACGTGAGCGCTGGTCTCCATGGCAACGCAAGATTTTCGTTCTCTCAAAACCAGGTTTAGAAGCAATTCTTCGACACTGAATGGCCAAATAGGAACCTGTGCTGTTTTTACACTGCGCGCATGCCTCTGGATTCGGATGTTTATGCACCTACTGCTTTT